CCCGTATGCCTATTCTAAGTTTAAGATATGATACACTCAGTCCATGCTCCTGAGGCCACCATTGGAGTCATGAATCTAGCTGTGCCTCCAGCTCCCGCTGACCTAGTATTTGCAGTTAATTGAGCAAATGTGTGTTATGGGCTGAACTGTGTCCCTGCAAAATTTATATGTTGAAGTCTTAGCTTCCAGCACCTCAGAATATGACTGTATTTGGAGATAGAGTCTTTAAAGAGGTGATTAAGTTAAAATGGGGTCATAAGGGTGGACCCTAATCCAATATGACTGGTGTCCATATGACGAGGAGAATAGGACACAGACATGCACAGAGAGAAGACCAAGTGAAGACACAGGGAGAGAGGTTAGCCATCTAGCCATCTTCAAGCCGAGAAGGGAGGCCCCAGAAGGAACCAGCCCTGTTGACACCTTGATCTCAGACTTGTAGCCTCCAGAACTCTGCGAAAATAAATTTCTCTTAAGTTGCTCAGTCTGTGGTACTTGGTTACGGCAGCCCTAGAAAACTAATACAGTAATACAGATGCTTGTTTGTTTGTAGGCTTGTGTATTTGTTGCATTAGCCAATTTGAGATGGTTTTTCAGTCACTTATAACTCACTAAATGCTAAAATATTCATGAACGTTATTTATTTAATTCTTCCTCATTGACCTAGACCGTTGGTTTTCTTCAAAAGCTTGGTGGGCCCTTGTTGCCCTTTCACGTTTAATGAAGTAGAAAATCTAATGGAAGCCCTTCATGCTGCGTTTTCTAGGCCTTCATTTTAGGCTGAAGCTGCGGAGAGCCGTTCTTCCTGCCGACGTGCCCACTGCCAGGGTGCGGAGGCTCACTCGGCAGGGTAAGCCTGGCACCCCAGCTCTCTTCCAACATGCATTTTAGCACTTGTGTAAAGACTTCTTTAGCGGTTGGCCCGATTGCCTCACTTTTCAGTGCATGAGGTTGGAGGAGTGCTGGTGAGAACCGAAGGATGAAAACTTTAATCGTCTTCCGATTATTCGCCGGGTTTTTTGTTTGTTTTTTTAAGCTCTACCTCTTGTTCCTGTCCTACACCTTCCCTACCAGCTCCATTTCTGGATATTTCTGAGACAGTGCCTGCCAGAGCGAGTTGATTCTCTACCCCACCCTAGTCTTCCCCATGGCTGTGACATCTTCAACTCTGTTTTTTTCTATCAGATCTTTGTATCCGTTTTCAGCTTTCCAGAAAAATATTTTACGTGTCTTATCTAGGGATGACTCCCCCTCCTGTCTGTCACGAGGGTGCCATAGGAGACCAAAGTCAAGGGGCATCTTTTATACTGAGAGCCAGAGAGGAGGTGTTAAACTTAGAGCATCCTCCCAGAAGGACCCTTGGCCCCCGTAAGAGAGTCAGCATCAATCAGCCACCAATGTCCGACAGTATCAGTCAGCTGGGACCTCTGCTGTGCCTGTGTTCAGTCCGCTCCTCTACCCAAAGCCAGAAGAGCCACTGGTGGCCTAGCGAGGGAGTAGAGGAGAAGGACAAGCCTATGGTGGGGAAAGAAACCAGGGGCTGACTGTGCTCCTCCATTCTCCATAATAGGTGTCCGGTCTGTAATAGGCTGGAGCTGAGGGGAGGAAGGAGCTGTGACCTTGAACTGAGCTTCAAGGTTGACTCTCACCCAGAACTAGACATTTTCATTACTAAAACTAGACTGATGGTGACTAGACTTAGGAAGGATTTTTATTATCTAAGAGTGGCTGGAAAAAAAATGAGACCTGTTGGGCTTCCCTGGTGGTGCAGTGGTTGAGAGTCCGCCTGCCGATGCAGGGGACACGGGTTCGTGCCCTGGTCTGGGAAGATCCCACATGCCGCGGAGCGGCTGGGCCCGTGAGCCATGGCCGCTGAGCCTGCGCGTCCGGAGCCTGTGCTCCGCAACAGGAGAGGCCACAACAGTGAGAGGCCCGCGTACCACCAAAAAAAAAAAAAAAAAAAAGTGAGACCTGCTTGACTGTTCACATAGTCCAAAGGGGGAGTTAAGACCACAGCGTGGATTGAAAAGCACTCTGACCAATTCTTCACTAACTGACTTTTAAAAGATGTGTCAAGAATGCTTTCCTTTTAACACATGTGTTATAATGGCACCTGATGGATGGATTTGCTCTTAATTTTGCTTCTTGGAAAAAAATGCTCAGATATTTTTGGGTGGTCTGTAAAGTAACAATTCTTTAAGATCAGTGCATCTTTTTTTCTTCTAATGTTTTATTCATGTGATAATCTGATGGTACTTAGGCACATGTGCAAACTATCAGAGAAAAAATATTGATTCATAGCTTAAAAAACAAAAATAAACATAATTTCAAATATTACTATTAGGTTGAAACTTCTGGGAGGATAAAATATTATGAAGTTGGAACAAGGCTTCAAAAAATTAGGTTCATTTTCAGTTTGCCATTTATTTGGCAAATCATGAAGATCCCCAAAAGTACAGTGACTCAATGGTACATTTTTTTGTTTGTACTTGTGCCACTTATATTACAAGTCAAATTGATTCTAATTAATTTTCTCTTAGAATGTGGATGAGGGCATCCATTCAAGTATCTTGCTCATTTGTTTTCTGTCTTTTTTCCCCCAAGTTTTTATTATTCTCATGTAGTCGAATTATACGTATGAGAGGCAATGCTGTGCTTTGAACCCACCTCAAAAGTGTGATTTTGTCAATCAGTTTTGTTGAGGTATACTTACATACCAATACTTACATACTAATTAAATGTACTCAATGAGTTTTTACAAATGTATACACCCATGTGACCATGGTTTAGACAAATGCACACACCATGTGACTTCTGAGACATTGACTATTTTTATCATCCCACGAGGTTCCCTCAGCCCATTTGCAGTCAATTCCCCCAGCCCCCAGCAATAGGCAGAAGCTGATAAGCTTCCTGTCATTCTAGTTTTGCCTTTCCTAGAATGTCAAAGAAACTAAATTGTACTCTTTGTGTGTCGGGCTTCTTTTGTTCAGCATGGTGTTTTCGAGACTCATCCAAATTGTGATATATATCAGCGGTTCGTTTCTTTTTGTTGTCGAGTGGTAATTCCATCCCTCATTCACTTTCTGTTGTGAGCAGTGATCTTGTACCTACAACACTTGGAAGAAGGAGACAGGGGGATTTTCTCCCCAAACATGCTATTTATATATGTTTATATAGTGTATAACCCTGAGCAAATTCCACTAAGCCAGCCTTTTCAACTTGTTAGATGTGGGCGATGATGGAATACTACTCTGTGAGCCCAAGAAAAGTCAAGTGATGGTGATGCCCTTGACAAGCATACAAATGCTAAAAGCAGTGTGAGGAATACGGCAGCTCTCCTTGTGAACCCAAATAGCCATGCTTGGAGCCTGATCCAGGCAGCCACCACTACTGTATTCAATTATCATCTTTTATGACCTCATCTGTGGGAGGGTCATGTTTCCAACATTCATTGCTGTGAAAAATGATTACTTTCTTATATACAGAGGGTTGTGTTTTCAAATAGGAAACCAGCAGCAGGGTAGAAAGATTCTTTTAAAGATTTTTTTTTTTTTGATGTGGACAATTTTTAAAGTCTTTATTGAATTTGTTACAATATGGCTTCTGTTTCATGTTTTGGTTTTTTGGCCACAAGGCATGTGGGATCTTAGCTCCCTGACCAGGGATCTAACCCACCGCCCCCTGCATTGGAAGGTGAGGTCTTAACCACCAGACCACCAGGGAGGTCCCTAGAAAGATTCTTCGGGAAACACTTTGTTATTCCTAAGCAAGTATATACTCATATTAGTATAAGACACAAATGAGTAACAAATGGAGGGGTAAATCGTATGTAATAGCTGTGTATTCAATCTAGAAGCACATCTCTTTCAAATTGCTCCAGTTGCCCCTAAAATATCATATCACCTTAGTTGTACGGCATCATTGGCTCTTATGTACTCTATACGCTTTCACAATCAAGTTAAGGGAAGTCCAAACGCCACGTGTTTGCAGACTGTGCCTAGTTCATGGGCCGTGCTTTAGGCTGTGAGGTGACATTTTGTGCTGGTCTCAGCCTGTCAATAACCAGTGTTGGGTCTGGACCAGCCCTTGAGGTTCTTATGATGATCGCAAGACACCCTCAGCCATAAGTATCAGAAAAACTGGGAGGGGGGAAGGTGCATTAGTTACAGGTCCTGGAAATTACATGGCACACCTAGGGCCACATGACAAAGTCATAGGGAGTGGGAAGGTGGAGAGACGAGGGCCTGGGGTTCTGCGTTTATTGGGGTTGGCGGTGGGGGCTTTGCATCACTAATTCCAGCAGAGGTTTGTTTGGGCCCACGGGGAGCAAGGTCTGAGAACCGGGGTCAAGTCTGTACTCACATGCCTTGGGAAGGTCCTGCTGTCGCCCTCCAATGCTCACGCAGGCCCCTATGACTCAGCAGGTGAGGAATCCTCCCAGCCCTGCCCCTCCTGCAGTTCGCTTACTACTGTGGCCTTCCAGAGGCACTGTCTGCATGGTAACCTCATGAATCACCATCCCAGTAGTGCCTGGGAACTTAGATGGAGGAGTCTGGGTCTTGCCACAAGGGCTTCTTCCTGTGCGCCTCCTCAAGACCGATCCACCCTCCTCTCAGGAAGGAAATCTTTCACTTGTGATTATTATTAACAGCAACCATATCACAACAAGGTGCTTATTTCCTTTTTGAAAACACAATCCTCTGTGTATGAAAGAATCAGCATTTTTCACAACAGACATTGTGATGGTTAATTTTATGCATCAACTTGACTGGGCTAAGGGATGCCCAGGGAGCTGGTAAAACATTATTTCTGGAAGCATCTGTGAGAATGTTTCTGGAAGGGATTAGCTTTTGAATCCATAGAGTAAGAAGACTGCCCTCACCAATGCAGATGGGCATCACCTAATCTGCTGAGGGCCCCAGAGGAATAAAAAGGTGGAGAAAGGGTGGATTTGCTTTCTCTTCTTGAGCTGGGATATCCTTCTTCTCTGCCCTTAGGCATCAGTGCTCCTGGTTTTCAGTTCTTCAGACTCAGACCATTGGATCCCCTGGTCCTCAGAGCCTTTGAGTTTGGACTGGAACCACACCACCGACTTTCCTGGGCCTCCAGCTTGCAGACAGCAGATCATGGGGCTTCTCAGTCTTCAAAATCACGTGAGCAAATACCTCACAATCAATATCTATCTATCTGTTTATTTATATCTGATTGGATCGATATCTTATTGGTTTGATTTCTCTGGAAAACCCTGAATAATACATATTTTGGTACCAGAAGTGTTGAAGAGGAATGGAAACTTAAGGATGAATTTTCTGAGTTGGTTGTGGGTTTTCTGGAATTGGCTCCCTAATCTGATTAGATTTAAAGATGCCAATGCCTTTATTTCCAGCCGCAAAGAGAGCCCTGATAATCCATGATATGAACTCTGTATAGCAACATGCAAGATATCTGCACTGGACCCTCCTAACCAAGCAGTTAAGTGACTCCGTACACGATGCTTTCGAACAGTAGTAGAAAACTAAGGAACATAATGACGTTGTTTGGTCGCTCCTAATGTCACTGGACAAAGTGGGTGAAAGAAAAGGATGAGCTCAGGGCTTCGAATTCCCAGCTCAAACACCACATAAATGACCCAAAAGCTTCTGTGTGTTCCCTGAAGGAGACCTTGTACGCGGGGCTGAAATTGCTAAAAGTCAAACACAGAGCCCCATCCTGCAGTTGGCGGAATTACAATGCAAATTGAGCTCCCAGCCTCAGAGGGTGTGTACTGATAAAGTGAGGATATTCACTAGGAAAGAATGAGGTCCTGTAAGTTGGGAAGGGGACATGTAGGAAGACCCTAATGAAGCTGGGGACGTTGAACGTCTAAATTCTAACGAGTCTTCTGTGCCAGGGAGGAGGAGGTCTCCCTACCCACAGCGTAGTGATCTTTCCACCTCCATCTGAGGGATGGGAATTGGGAAAATTAAAATGGGACAAAGCTGACTATACTTACTGAGGTTCAGCTGTTTTTCTTGAATAAATGTCCCCTGTATTTACTGCTTTGGTTAATTTCCAAGTTTTGAAAAACTTGATTTTGTTGATTCTTGCCAGCGTCTTCATTCTTTTATGGAGAAGATTTTTAAATGAACTTATCCCATTTTTCCTGCTGATGTCACCTAGGCTCATATAATGATATTATTTACTTTTAAAAAATTTATTTATTTGATTTATTTATTTTTGGCTGCGTTGGGTCTTCGTTGCTGCGCGCGGGCTTTCTCTAGTTGTGGTGCGCAGGCTTCTCATTGTGGTGGCTTCTCTTGTTGCAGAGCACGGGCTCTAGGCACGCGGGCTTCAGTAGTTCTGGCTCACGGGCTTCAGTAGTTGTGGCTCGCGGGCTCTAGAGCACAGGCTCAGTAGTTGTGGTGCACGGGCTTAGTTGCTCCATGGCACGTGTGATGTTCCCGGACCAGGGCTCGAACCCATGTCCCCTGCATTGGCAGGCAGATACTTAACCACTGCGCCACCAGGGAAGCCCTGATATTATTAAAAGCACGAATGCAGCCCTTTTTCTTCAGGATTCTAACAGTTATTTGCTGTTCATCCAGAGGTTACAACTGTCCATACTCTTTCACTTTTTTGAATGAAGTGGCAAATGGTTTTGTTTGTGGGAAAAACCTTAAAAATACATTCCTAGTGTTTCCCTTTCAGCAGTAGCTTCCAATAATCACCAGCTGTTCGGTATTTGCCACATTTCATAAACAGTCTACAATAGAGTAGGGTTTATCTTCCATATTTTTTTAAATTGACATACTATCTCCATTTGTCCAGATTTTCTCTTTTTTCAGTAATTACTTATAAAATGTTTTTGATAAATAAATCTCATTGATCTTTTCTCACTTTAATTTTTTCCTCAAGCACTAGTGCAAAATGAATCAAATTCTGCAATTAGTGCCGTAATTTTCATGACATTTCTGTTATCTCAAGAATGCCTCTTGTCACTGTGACCTCTGATGGGAAAGCTTCTTTCTCTGAGAGTTGAATCACTGCAAAGAATCCTTTAGTATCTCAAAATAATGCTGAATATTTCCTCTTTACTTCCAAACATTGGTCCAACCTGTGTATGTTTGTTTATTTATGTGCAAGCCAAGTAAACCTAGTCTTTCTAGTTTGTGGAATGTTCATGACTTTTGAGTGTTCTTATCGTATGCACCTGGTCGTAGGACCCAGTTGACATAAATGATTTCTGTCCTTTTGAAAACAGTTTACAAACGAAATATTATTTGACAGTGTGAGTCATGAAATAGGCTGTTCAGCATCTCATAACTGTGACTTTTCAAAAACATCTTTCACAAAATAATTGAGAATATCTGTTTTATCCATTGTATATCCTCTTTGATATTCTATAAATGTTACTGAGAATAGTATTTCGTATTACTGGGAATATGATTTGGGGGGGAAAACTGTTCTTCATGTAGCGTGTTGTATCAATCTTATCTTTCTCTATGGTTTACCCTTACGGTCCTTTTTGCCTTTTTGGTATGATTGGTAATGCTGGGGAAATACCAATAGTCACTGAATGTTAAGAATATTTCAGAATGCCTATAGCCTCCTCAAAGTCCCCTGACAGGAGGAGAAGAGAGAGAAATTGAACCGGAGAGAGAAACCAGTCTCAAGTTGTCATTAAAATGCCTTTACTTTTACACATTTTACAGAAGCGTATGAGTATCTCAGATCATTTCCAGGGCCCTAAAAGCTGCCGGTGCAGCTGAGGCATCCAGAAGTTTAGGTATATGTGAATCTTGACCCCAGACTTTTCTTCTCGCTCCGAGATAATAGAAATTCCTTTGATTCCCTTACGTTATAAACAACAGTCTCCAATTAGGAATTAAGCGTCCACTGAAAACTAGTAAATAGAAAAATAGTAATCAACATGTCCGCCGTCATTGACCGCTTCCTTCAGGCGGGCTGGTAGAAATGGAACTCTGTGATAGGAGGAAGAAAGAGAAGCCCCTCCTCTCTGTCACTCACCTGCGCCTCCCCCCCCCACCCCCACAAGCTGCTGCTTCTCATGCCGCAGTATCTGATGGGCGGGGATCCGGGGAGTGCTGATGGGCAAGTTCCTGCTTAACTGGCACTGTTGTACGTTGGCTTCACTCTCTCTAGACCTGGGAGATATTAAAGCAGGTTCTCGCTCTTGCGTGGGTGTTTTCATAACTTCTTCAGGCTCCCCCCAACCTGTCAGTCTGCTGGTTGCATCTAACTGTCATCCGGGTGATGTTTTCCGTGGCATCCGTGGCCACTCGTCTCTGGACCCCTAGTTTTCAGGAAATTCAAGCCACACAGACTCTCTGTTCGAGTTCCGTCTTCTTCCCAGGTGGTTTACTGGTCCAGGTGTCCAAATAGATCCAGGCTGACTCTCCCTACTTTAAGGACAACATCTAGTTCATGAAAAACAGTCACCTGTCCTGTGTTCCTACTCAACCAAAGTGCAGGGCAATTCTTACGTAGCCACCTTTTTTTTTTGTTCTGCCTTTACAATAGATCTCTGTTTTTCTTTCCTTCTATCTGATTTTTTGTCTGTTGGTTTGTTTGTGGGTTTTTTTTGTAGACCTCTAGGTTTCATGGCAGGAGTGAGATCCCATTCCACCATGTTTCCCCCTCCCAGGAAGTATGAATCAAGTTTCCTTGAAGCCTTGCCTTATACCCTCAAGAGAAAGGAGGAAGAGGCTGTCCCTCCCCATCTCCCCCCCACACAAACTTTTATCAAGTCACACTCCCTTCCTCTTGTGTGTTGGTGGGTGGGACAAATGACGCAGATTTCTCTGAGGAATTTATCTTCATAAAACTTCTTTCTACATAACTAAAATCCATTTTCTACCCTCACACTAAGAGTATCAGTTCTTAGCATTTGCTTTGATATCTACCTCTTGATCTGACTCATAACACACTTTATTATACAGTGTCTTTTATATCTGGGTGTTTCAATCAAAACTTTCAGTATAACGACATTTACTCTTGGGGGACCTTAAAATAACAGATTCAGAAAATCTCCTTAATTATATTCTTTGGGTTGGAAAAGATCTCAGAAAATATAGGCTCTAGGAGATCAAAACTGGGCTTGCAACAAATATAGAAGTTGAGGCCAAAGTTATTAGGTTAAGTTCATTCAGTCCATCAATCAATTAATCAAACAATCTATCTTCCTAGACTAGCTCCTTATATACGTAAGTAGAAAATGAAAACTTGTTCTTTTGCACAGCTTTTTCACAGTTGAAGTCAGTATGATTTCAGGAGCTAAATCAGGTATGAATTTTTACTTATGTCCAAATAGGATTTTCTCCTTGCTGTCTCTCCCACTCCCATCTAATTTCTCCACACACACCCAACAGAGGCTGTCCTTTCTCCTGGTGCTCTGGTCCAGCTGTGGAGACTGCTAATTATTTGGGTAAGATTCAGAGCAAGACTGAAACTAAATGATCTGCAATCTCTATTTACCCTTGACAATCAGCCTTCTCCATTGCTACCTTCCTGCTTAGTAGCAAAGGCAGACTTAATTAGTAAAAGTCACGAACAACACTGAACAAAATAGTCATTTTCAGCCTTTTGTGAATCTTTAAAAGATTAAGTTAAAAAAAAAAAAAAGCCAGTTTTGTCTGTGATAACTTAAGCCTGGGAAGGCTTTGCTGTTTATTTAGCATTTTCCCATGTTTTCCTCAGTCTAAGCTAATTTATCTTAAAGTACTGTCACAAATGGTCCTCACTTCTGCATAAGGTAAATACAGTACTTCAAATGTGTAAGCTCTGTTTGACATAATAAAATACCTCTGTAACCTAAAAAAACCTAGACAAAGAAAAAGGTATCTCCTAAATAAGATTCTTCCAGAAGCCTCTCTCATTTTCTATCCCTCTAACTCTTCTCATCCCCAAAACAACCATCCTTACCAGTTTGTTTCTTTTTTAAATAAATTATTTCATAATTTTACATTTGGGTTGTATGTAAACTGATTATTTCCTCCAGCATTAGTCCTCTTATTCCTTAATAATAGATCCCAATATTTAGCTGTTCCCCTTAACCCTAATGCTTTTCCCTGCTGTCTTGTCAGCTAGGTACAAATTCCAGTAAGATTTTTTTTGAGACGTAAGGAGAAATTCTGTGTGGTAATTACACACAAAAAAATTTTTAATGGGAAAGTCTACATTCTAAGAGGTAGCAAATACCTAAAAAAAAGATTCAAGATGATCTTGGATGCTGTGGTATTCATTGCAGCACTATTTATAATAACAAAATGGTGATAGCAACTTAAAGGTCTAGCAGAAGGAGATTAACTAAATTATTATACGACCATAGTACAAATCCTCTGCTACCATTCAAATTAAGTTTTTCAAAGATACTTAATAATATAGGAATATATCTCATTATTTACATGTTGTGAAAGAATTAAGTAAATGTTTTTCCATATAATGGAAAATTATATAGAGTTAAAA